ATGCCTGCTGGCATCACTTTGGGGGGAGCCTGGGCTAGACCGGGAGCATTGCACAGGGTGTTGCTGATCCCTGCTTTCCCAGCAGCACACGGACAGAGATGTCTTTGTCCATTGGGCCATGTGTGCCCAGGGGGATTGTTCAGAGGGCTGAACATTGTGGGCTGCTGCACACAGGGAAGCTGGGGGCAAATAAAGGAGCCTCTGGGAAGTGGCTGTTTGCACACCAGGAAGCCTGGAGCTTCCCTGAGGGGTGATGCTGGAACTGAGCTCAGTCAGTAATAGAGGCTCTGGAGTGGATGGATCTGGATGGATCTGCTTGCAGGGGGGGATGTTGGCTCACTTCCTGCCCCTGTGACTTGAAGGACCAGTTTTGCACTTTCTAATTTCACTGCAGAATCTCAGCTGCTGACCTGCAGAGCCCCATTCCCTGCCACTGACCTTCCCGCACCCTCCCTGGGCAGAGGACACAGGGAGGTGGTTGTGGTGGGTTTTTTTTCCCCTCAGTGCATAGGACATCTCCAGGCAGAAGAGGGTGGATGGGGTGACGGATTGGCATTAACCCCTTCCTTTTGTTTTCCTTAAGTTTAGTCTGTTAAGGACTTGTCTGGTCCCTGCAGACAGGCAGAAGACTTGACTCCAAACTCAAGTCCTTCTGCACATGGTCCCCTGCCTGTTCTATCCCACTTCTCTTAAATGAAGACCAAGTTCAATCCACCCTTCGGAACAGGGCACAGCCCACTGCAGCCATGTGAGATGTGTTTCCTGGAAGGATTTCCAAGCCATGAACAGGTAAATGCTGCTTTCTCTCTGGGAAGGGTCTCTAGAGGAGATGCTATCGTGCCTGGAGCCCTTGAACCAGCTGGTTGGGGCCGCAGGGAAGTGGAGCAAAGGCTGCCAGCAGCAGTTTGCTGGCTCACCTCCAGCAGCCTGTGTGGGGCTGTGTTTGTGCCACCGCTGCCTCTGCTGTCCCCACCTGCTCCTAAACTTCCCTGCTAGTTCCCTGGGCAAGCCTGGGCCACACTTTCCTGCCCTCTGCCTACCCTGCCGCTCTGAACCCCTCCAGTGCTTTTCCTGGAAGCGGGATGTCATCCCTCAGCACTCATTCCAGTGACCAAAGTGACTGAGTGGCTCTAACACACGGTATTGCTTCAGCTTCTCTCGGGCCCATCAAATCCTTGGGAAAAGGCTGGGTTCGGGGGATTTGAGTCCAGTCCCTGCTCAGTGCAGCTCTGCTCTGAGCTCATCCCCTGCCCCAAAGCACTGCTCCAAACTGCTGCTGTGGGATCACTGCAATTCCTGGTAAGATCTGAAAGCTTTGCATTTTAAACTCGAATGCTGTGGCCAGTCTCTGCTGTCAGTCCTGTGCTCACCAGCTCTCCTGCTTTCGAGTTGACTGTGTGGATCATGGGTTTTCTTGCTCACAGCCACATGTGGAATGAACCCACAGGGGGGTTTTGTCTGCCGAAGGTTGTGTTTGCTGGTGATCAAGCTGCCTGGGCTCTTGCTGTGGTGGGTTTTGCTCTGTCGAGTGTTCTGCAGTGATCTGGCAGGAGTCAGTTGCCCAAGTGAGGATCTTACAAACAGGACGGTGCTTTTACCCCACTGTGTGCATGTAAACGTGCTCTTTCCACACAGGTACTTCCTCCTGGGGGCCTGACTCAGCACCTTGCTTTTCCTGAAGACATTGAGGTTTATTGGGCTTGGTTTTGCCAGGAGACTCTCCAGAGACTCTCAGTGTCCTCACCATGCCATGGATGTGCTGCTCTTTAGTAGGATCCAATGTGCTGCATAGCCCAAGGCACCCACCACTGCCAGGATCACTAACTGCTGGGAATGGTTCTTTGAGTGCTAAAGAAATCAATCTCCCCATTCACACCTTGAATTACTGATTTTAGTGTGTTTAGGAGTTAGAAAGTGGATGGATTGACACTGATTCTTTACAGCCTTGGCAGTAACAGAGGAGCTGTGGCTTCTCCTCAAAATAAGTGGCAATGTTCAATACCCAGTGCCTCTGTTCCCTCGTTGGGGTTTTGCTGTGTCGTTGCTCTTTCCAAAGCAGTCTGGGCTGTTCCCAAATGGTCCGATCTACAATAGTCATTAAGAGAAGCTAAGCCGAGAGCTGCTGTTGAGAGGAGAGGAAGGAAGGAAAAGGAAAGACTTGGGGAAGCCTTTACCCTATGGAACATCCTCTGCAGAGCCTGCACCCCCTCGAGGGTCTGCCCTTACAGGAGATGAGAAGGGGCCAGGCGGGTGCAGGAGCTCTGGGCTGTGGTCTGCTGCGGCTCCGGCGGGTGGCAGCACCCAAACGGCTTCTCCAGGTGACTTAACTCGGGTGCAGAAAGGCAAAGGGGCTTTCCCTGCTCTGCTGGGGCTTGGGCAGGGAAACTGCTGGGAGCAGAGATGAGGATGGATTTGCAGGGTTGGGTTTGCAGTGGTGCTCAGTGTTTCCCTGCTGTGGTCTCCAGTAACTCAGACTGAGGTGGGGCTTGGCATGCTTTAAGCCCTTTCTGCAGCTTCTCAGCCCAGAGCTGTCCTGCCTGGCATTTATTCCAGGGAAAACTGTCTTTTGGAAGCAAAAGGGTGCTTTTGATTCCCCTTGGCCTGGGGGAAGGTCAGTGGCAGCTGGATGTTTGCAGACCACAAGGCCATCAGGAGAAACACCTTCTGTTCCGCTGGCTGGAAGGGTCGAAGTCCAGGGGTAGTGCTGGGATCAACCTGGGATCACAAACATGGCCCCGGGCATTCACCTGCAGCAGGTCTGGAGCTGCAGTGATGGCCCCGTCCTCCCAGGAACGTTTGCCTTTTCCCCTGGCCTGCCTGAAAGGCGAAATGACATTCCCTCACCCCCAAAACCTCCCTCTCTGCTTCCTCTGGGGCTCCTGCCACTGCCTTTTCCCTGTCTTGACGCTTGTCTTCTCTCAGGTGCCACCAGCCTGAACTGGCAGATTTGGAGTGTCACAGATGCCATTACCCTGAGCACTGCCGAGGCCCCCGTGAGCCACGAGCCTGCAGGGGCTGAGGACAGAACAGCCCCAGGATTTCGGGTTTGGTGACACGGAGGGAGCTCCACACATAGCACAGGCACCACAACCCCATGTACCAGCCACCCACTGATCCAGACCAGTGAGCAGCTCAGGTCAGACTCGGGGTTCCTGGTGTTGGTTACAGGGCTGAGGTGGTGAAGTAACAAAGCTCAGGCTGTGGGCTCGGGGGGGTGCCATGAACTGACAGTGTAGGACTGGCCCCGTTTGCAGCCCTGGATCCTGCTGCAGGAACAGAGCCCAGCCAGCTCCCCTTGATCTCCAGCAGTGCTCTGACGTAGCTGAGAACAGGGTGAAACTCATCACACCCCTGCCAGCTCACCTGCACCCCAGTGCAGCAGACACTGCCAGGTACCCTCAGCCCAGGGCAAAGCATCTCCAAGATACTGCTGTTTTATCATGGCCAGAGCACAGACAGTTGTAAGATGAAGAGGCACAAGGATCCCAACGCAGCCACCCCAAACTGGGTCTTTCCTCACCCACAAGGTCACTGCTCAACTGGGTGGGTGCTGGTTTTTGACCCCAAGAGGCTATAAAACTGGGAGATTAAATGCCAACAATGTCCTATTGTGCAGAAAAAAGCACCAAACCCAAGCAGGCCAGGTGCAGTGCCAGGCTGGACTTTGCCCAAGCCGGTTTTTCAGCCATCTGTGTCCACTCCCTCTGGTAGGAGGTGGAAATGTTTCAGGCAGACAGACAAGAACCACAGCAGCAGGGATCTGGGGTAGCCTACAAAGGACTTTCCTTGTTAGCTCATCATAAAGGAGACCTAGGGCAAGGGTGGCTTCTTCAGCACAGTCATGTGCTGCTACGTGGAGAGCAACGGGCCCTGGTCAGCCCCGAGTGTTTAAGTGGAGTCTGGAGTTCACCAACACTCAGGAGCGAGACATGAGGCTCCAACTGCCTCTCCTTGGCCAGGCAGCCACCGCAGTCCAGAGCAGGGAGCCTGGAGGCATTGCCCCCTCCCTGCTCACACCCCTGCAGGAGAAACCACACATTCTACCGGGAAATAAGCCACTTTTCTTGTTTCCTTTATGTTGCAGTGCAGTTGAACACGACACGAACATGCAGAGTAACGCCACTTGGCAGCAGGAGCTCGGAAAACGCAGCAGTGCCTGTCAGTAGTCAGCAGGGGGAGAGGCTCTTGGGAAAGAGGCAGGAGACACAGTCCCAGCAAGAAGAGCCCCTAAGGACCACCCCATCCTCTCCCCTGCCCACAACCACAGGCTCTCCAGCCTTCCCTTACTGTAAGGCAGCAGATCAACCTCTCCAGACTAGAAGCAGCAGCAAAGGAGGAGCAGAGTCTGTCTCCACTGCAATAGCTGGTGTTTTTAGACTGGTGTTTTCCCTTCCCAAGGAGGCAGAAGGAGACTTAATTTACAAAATAAACTGACCCTTGTTTTCACAGAAGAGCAGGAAGCTGAGGGGAAAGGAGTGAAAACTCAGGAGTACCTACTGCCAAACTGCACTGGCAAAGAGTGGATGAGCAGCTCTGAAGAGCCAGGAGACAAAGCTAAGTGATACATTAAGGATATGCCCCAGAACCTCTCAAGTCTGACTCTTGTTGCTCTCCCTCCCTTTTTGCTCTAACCCCTCCTTCTCTCTTAACTGCCCTTTGGGAAGTGTCTCAGATGGTTTTGACTGGAGCTGCTGCAGTCTTGTGTTCTGCTCAACACAGGACAACTGAGGATGACTTTGTGAGGCTGCCTCCACTGCAAGCTCGGGTGGGGATGCTCAAGTGTCTACTCGCCCAAGGTAAGGGATGTCCAGCAATACATATCTGGCCCTGTTCGATGGGCTGACTGAAAGAGGGGTAGAAGGGGAAGGCTCAGTTGAATTTAGCTTTTGAAAAGTCCATTTCTGGATGCTGTTCCATGAACCTGCAAGGAAAACAAAGACAAGAGCTTGAGTATGAGTCAGCAGGAGCCACAGAACAGCTTGGCTGCTGGGGGAAAAAAGCATCCCTACTTCCTGCAGTCAAGTTTGCTTTGTCCCCACACCCGGCAGGGCAGGGACTGTTTTGCTGAGCTCCTTGAGACACAGTCCCCACACTGCAAACTTCTTCCTCAGGTCAGACGCGTGGGAGTTATTAATTATCAAACACACACCCTTTAGCTGTTACCTCTCGGACAGACACGTAGCAGGGATGAA